TTTTCAGTTATGTTTCTTCTCTGACAACTCCTTGGGTTGTGTATAAACTATAATGCTATTCCCCTCAAGAGCTGAAGCCCTTGTATTGCCTTTTGAGCCACACTAAGGGTATAGGGATGGCAGTGTTGGTCAGTTGGCACACCACTTTTCTCAACTGTCTTTGGTGTCTGTCACAAATAAATTCGGTGTGTCAAAGCAATGTAACCGTATGACTGGGTGGGTTCATATTTCTTTTATTGATTAGACAGACTACTGGTGACAATGGTTAATATGTTAGTTAAGGCTACTTGATTTTGTTATACTTAGTTTGCTCTATTTGAAATGTTTACAAATCTGGAACCAGTTACAATTTGCTTAAAAAGTGACTGGAATGGATTAACTGACCAATAATTTCAGCGTTTTAAATATAGCTCTCCTCTCAAGCAAACATGCTTGCTGTGACTGGCTCAAACACCAGAGAGGAACAACAACCTCATTGGAACTTTGTGTAATGGTGTAGATCACAAAACATGATGAAAGGTGAATAGATGATTTGCATTTCAAACAGCCCTTTTAAAACAGTGCCCTGTGTAACAGTCAGGCCGGGGGTATAACAGAATACATGGGGCATTACATATTTAGGTTACAATAAAACGGGTAACTGTATTTCATTAAAGTTACAGGATAAAAGGGGTAATCAGATTACAATACACTTAGTAAAAAGGGAGATTACAAAAGCAGAATTACAATTTTAACGCTGTACAATAAAGAACAATATACTACCATGGAAATGGTAGTACACACATTACAACACTTCACAAATCTCACAACACCACTCTGACCTTGAGTGAAACTCTAGCTAATCTTGCACCTCAAAAATTCTTTCCTCATCAAGATGTGTTTCCCCTTACCTGAATCTAACCATAATCACCAAAGGTGACATTTGAGTGTGAATAGCCTACTTAACAATTTCCATTTGAATTAAATGTGCATAATTAATGTTACAACTATTAATTTAAATGTGCATTATTTGTACATAACAAAGAAAGGAATAGCTGGACAAACTATTAATAAACCTAATCATAAACCATCTGAACTGTTAACAAATACAGTGGACACTCTTATTATATTCTTAACCCAAATACTAAAACAAAACATGTAGGTTTCGTGTAGGTTTATAGGATACTTCCTGAATTGATTTAATGAATGGCAGGTTTTTCTTAAAAATACACTTTTTTGATATTAAAGATCTTGGCTTCCTCGTTTCTTAAGGTTACATTGTTCTGTTGAATATGTTTAAGTAAAGGCCTTCCTATTGATATGAATTTTCTCATGTCTTTATTTGCATATTTTGTATTGAGCTAACAGAACATAATCAAGTTATGTTACTTTAATAGTGTGATGCATGGATTAAGTTACTGCATGCATTTTTAACAAGTCTTTTGTAATTGTATGGAATACAATTTTAAAATAATGTTCCAACCCTAGTGACAGTTAGCTGTGAGACATGGTGGTACTCCCGTCAGCACAGTGGCTAAAATAACTGTTGAGCATAGGGAATGTGCCTTCAGCTGCATCTGTAGCCAGTGATGTCTTTGTCAGAGACACTGATATTCTGGGACTTGACATGCCACACTCTCCTGGCTGCTGCTTGTAGACAAGTCAACATGAGGAACTGAGGCTTCACAGGCTTTGTGACATACAAGAGAGACAGAGATTAAGGAGAGTGAGAGTGCATATTTAGTACATGGATGGTTGCCTCAAAACCTATATTAACTGCCTATATTAACATCTCCTTCACTCAGGAAAACAAAAAAGGCTTTATAAGGATGCCTCTCAAGTTAATCGCATGAGTATAGATCAAGAAAATCCAGTTAAAACCAATCAAATTTATCACGATCAATTTCTTGATTTTTTAAAACTTTCATTCCTTGTTTTGTTAATGCTAATAGTTAATACAATGTAAAACCTATAGGTCCTAATGGGACATCTTTAGTTCTGAAGGCATTTGGTTATACACCACCTAGACTGATTCAAACTAAACAATGTTACACAGTACTCAGTGACTCAGTGACCATTTGAAGTTGTGATGCTTTTATTTTTATGTCTGGCAGTCCGTTTGGTAACATGAAAGATGAATAGGCAAGGGAATGTGAATGTTTTTGTCACTTGGACTTAAGAGGGTGGGCATACAACTAGTGCCAGGCCAAAAAGGAACAAATCGGTATGTCTGCCAGTATTTTTTGCAAGTTTGTTATGAATCAAGCTTACCCTGTTATGTACTGACACCAGAAAGTAGCTGTATGTTGCACTCAGTTGTCTGACACTGACAAAGGCTTTCATCTTTTCCTGTCTACTTGCTTTTTATATATTACCAAACTAGTTTTCAACTGTATAAATGACTAAGCATTTCAATATTAAATAGTGCTAAAAACTCAGTTGATTACTGTGTGACAAAGTTTATCTTTAAGCAGTGCAGCAGGAGACAGACAGACACGTTTTCTTCTCGGGCTTATCATAGCTGTGTGTGCTGCTGCTGACACTGTTTAGCATAGTACAGCTTGTACAAACTCACTCTGCTGATGCTGGCACCACCTCTTATACAGTCTTGCTATCTTAATGCTTCTTGTACATGCTGAAGAATGCCTAACAGAGTGAAGCCAGGCTTGTCTGCTTCATTCATGTACCACACAGTAAAGTAGAACCGGTGCTTGTTAGCTAATTAGCCTGTGGATATTGTTTTCCCCTCAGGGGTTATCATTGAGTACATTACTTCCACGTGATACCAGACAGTCAGCAGCACAGCGTGCCTGACCCTTAGTAGCATATTAGATGCACAACTTGTTCTGGTAGAATACTGGAAAACCTCAAAAACTCAAAATGTTCAATTCATTGCTGCTCATTGATGCTCAACTTCCTAAGACTATATATGGCTTTTTCCTGGAGGAAGTGTGTCAATTTGTATTAAACTCACAAAAATGCCAGTAGAGTAGATATGTTGGTTTGTTTTTGACAAACATTATTCACTTTATGAAATACAAAATCTTTGGTTTCAATAATCTGACAGAGCACCGAGTAGGAGGCCAACTTAAACTTGCTTGCAGAATGTTAAGTACAGCAGCTGTGGATTAACAACTTACTGTTTGAATAATGAGCTGTGGCATTACTTTCAAGCTAACTCAGACTATAAAACAGCAACAAATTTGATAAACTGAGCAGTTAAAACAAAGATGTACGTAAGTATATCTTAAGGCAAGGCCGTGAGGCTTCATAACTAACTACTTAATTTATGATCTTTCACTTGATAGGCCATTATTGATTAAAATGCCTTTCCTCTGACTGACTCTCTGCCTCAGTATGAGGGGTGTGTGTTTTTTAAAATGCAGAGTAGTAAGTGGGTGGTGTTCTAAGTTACCAGGATACGGTGGTGCTGATGTGGGAATGCAGCGAAAAACAAAATGAGTGATGCTAGAATTTGTAAAAGAAACAGAGAGAAGCAGGCCAGTTTTAACGCACTAACATGTCAAAAATCTGCCTAAGCTATTTCAGAATATGAGAAATGGGTAGGCAAAATGGCATTTATGTGTTTATAGGCCAAGCACTGAAGCTGATGCTGCCGCCTCAGTGCATCTGGCCAGACATATTTGGTCAACCGACCATTCTAGAATTTGGCAGAATGTCCAAATTATCTGTCCGCCTCTATCATCTTGTGAGAGCTGTAACTATTACTGGAACCTCCTCCTTAGACAGCAGTGGGTTAGACCTGGAGGTGGACTAACTCTGAGTCATGATGGATGCTTTATGAGCAAAGCAGACTGAGTCAGTTGATTTTAAACTTTTATTTACTGAATCACTGCATCTGTCATTTTTAAGACTCTATAAGGAGCCTATTGCAAATGGTTTTAGTAAGTGTCTTCATGGCAAGTCGATATTAATGTGACACTGTAGCCTACCCGACCATAATGAAACACTATACCTGACCACCACAATTTCATTCATTTATAGTTAACGCTTTTAAAACACAGTCAGGATTTGAATGTGTGGATGACTGTGAGCTGATGATGCACAGGCTGGAGGATTCCTCTCGTCTTGTTGCGCAGGATGATACTGCAGCTCTTCTACGGCTTCACACTCCAACCCACCTTGAAACGGTTCCCACTAGTGTTGCATTCATCACAGGGAGAAAAAAACGGAAATGTGCATTAATTCTTTACGACACAAAAGCTAGAAACGTGCAGGTTTGTGCATATGGTCCTGTACTGCTCAGACGCCCCATAAATTATGCATTAAAACCCACACTCAATCACTGGTGGTATTACTGTCTTTTAAACAAACAGGAGTGATTTCCATTGTTTTTATTAAATGCCTACGGGTTAACCACCTGTTGGGTTTTGCCATTTGAGGTTGGGATTGTGACATAATGTAGTCATTGCTATAGCCCACTGTAAACAATAAACTCCTTTTTAAAAAACAGTGATGGGACCTCTTCTCTTGGTTAAAGGGAGTCTTACCCTACTCCAAAAGGTACTTACAGCCTATTAACATTTAACTGTTATTATGTCACAACATTATGCAGGGATGTAGCCCATCTAAGCATGCCGCCATGTAAAGGTAATTGCTTTTCCTTCTGTTTTATGATTAGTATTTTCTCTCATTTATACTGGTTTGCTGTGGCACAAAGAAGCTACTTTTTGCTTCGAACGCCATTATAAAAGTAATACGGGTACAGTTATTTACTTTAACATTATTATATAGCGATGTTATTGTAAATTTGTGTGTTAAGGGTAAAAAAAGCTGATATTGAGCAGGTATACTGTCTTTATAGCCATAGTGAGGACCCTGAAGTCCTTTCTACCAGCTGGAATATGGAAACTCCGAGTATTACCACGTAGGATGAATGTCTCACGCCATTGGGAAACCGACAAGGCAGCAAACCAACCAGCGGCCGGAGCTCTCCTACGCCCATCAATGAAACAAGTGCGGAGGCGGGACCGCGGTTATCTGAAGGCTCGCGCTTGGTTTCACGGCGTCGACTGCTTTCGTCTCATTGGCGCAGGTGATCCGTTTCGGGATGCGAGAGGAGAGCGGAGGAGAGGGGAAGAGAGAGGGAGAAGCGCCGATGGAAAAGTGACCAGGGCTCGGTTAGCAAGAAAACAGGATACCGCCCCGATTCAGTTTGTCCTGGGCCTCTCGGCGAAGTGAGGTTCATCGAAAGGGGCACTTTGAGATATCATGCGGTTTATTTCTGGTCGGCAATAGTACTATGATTTGGTATGTGGCCACTTTGATAGCAAGTGTATTCAGCACCCGAGGAACGGCCGCTCAAGGTGAGTCGAAGTGCACTATCTGTATCCTCCCATGCCTTTGCTCAAGTTTATACAAAGCTGTTTTTTCAAGGCTTCTTCCAGCTTCTCTGCTTGCTAAATTTGAGTATGTGACTGATAACGTTTGGTTAAAAATGTCACACTTTACGTCATGAAGTTCATACGTGTGTCCATCACGCACCTGAGCAGAGCCTGCCCGGGCAATGATGAGACAAACGGACCGGTTCATCGGTAATGACAGAGCTTTACCATAGGAGAAATAAAGAAGCCCTTTGCATAAACCTGCTCTTTCACCTGATAGTGGAAATTGGTGGCTGTCAGTGATAAACGGCATTATCGGACTTGTGGCGTTTTAGGCTTCACAGCGCTGGATTTCGCAGCCTGTTTGGGCTGACATATTCCCCTCAAGATGTGTGAGTTTGCTGTTCATGGGCTCCATAAGGTTTTGTCGCTGGTACGGTCGCTGCTTTACTGCATTAGCCAGTTTAACTGAGCTGAACACCGACTGTCAGCGTTTTCTAAAACGTGAAGGCAACTGTGATTAGTATGGTGCGCTGGTGTGGATGTCATTAAAATGCTATGAGTGGATTAACCTCTTCCTAGGGAACTGAAGTCATTACCAGCTGTGTCCACTAGGGGGAGGGCTTTCTGAGCCAGCACCGCGTGAAGGTGCATTAAACAGCTGCTTTTCACTCATGTACAGTGCTACTCGAATCGCGTGTATGATGGCTCTGAGCTGGAAAATGTTTTAGCCAACGTACTGGCTTGCTGGTGAAAGTAGTTTGTCCTGTGTGACACGGTTCATGGGTGACAGGTCCTTCAGTTAGGCCATCTGCAGCTGACCTCAGGCTGTCCTATGGAGGGCTGAAAACAGAGAGACCAAACCAGAGATGTCCAAGCAAAAATCACACTGATATCAAATGTGTTATTCAGAAGGCACCTAAGTACAGCAGGGCTAATCAAGAATCATACCTTTCAAAATATAGATATTTTCTCAATTAATTAAATATTAATTTGGCTTGTAAACTGTCAGAAAAGAGTGAAAATAACTGTAAGTTGACATATTTGTATTGCATCTGCATCCTGCAGATTATTTTTACCCGGTATAGTAAGAAAATGAGAAAATATTCACATTTGAGAAGCTGAAATCTGAAGTTTTGGGGCTTTGTGCTTAAAATAATGGCTTAATAAAACTTAAACACGAAAACAATGTTCCAGGGATTAGTCTATAAATCAACTAGTGTTACATCTCTGACTATAAATGACTATAAATGGCATCCCCCTCTATCCAGTAGGGTTGCAATCGTATGAGATTTTCACTGTATGATAACTGTCTCAGAAAATATCAGGGTTTCACAATATTACGGCATACGATATTACACAATTACTATTATTATCGGCTACAATGACCCTCAGAAGAATGGGACGGGTGTGTGTGTGTGTGTGTGTGGGGGGGGGGTTACATTGCACATGGCTGTGCTGGAGAATTGAGCTGGACTGCAGCATTAGATTGATCCTAAAGAATAAACATAAAGGTGATTTTAAAAAACAGCATATAATTTAAACCATTTTAGTTAGCATGTTAGCACCAGTAATAGAGGAAGTATTCACATCCTTTATTTAAGTAAAAGTACTAATATCACACTGTAAAAGTAGCCTACTCTGTTACAAAAAGTTCTGCAGTGAATATGTTAAATAAAAGTAAGTATGAACGCAACAATGTTGGTAGAACTTTACTGATCCCACAGTGGGGAAATTCCAGTGTTCCAGTAGCAGTAAAGGACAAAACAACATGAAACCATAAGAATAAACACCCCATACATAGCTTGAGAAAACAATATCCAGGTACCTGAAAAACAAACAACAAAAAGTATTTCAGAGACAATCAAGAACAAGAATAGACCTCCCACAGTTTGTCCCTGAGACACAAGTTAAAAAAGATACCCAGGAACAAGACAAAAAACGAACAGTATTGAGAGGAATCGAAATTCCAGTGTTCCAGTAGCAGTAAAGGACAAAACAACATGAAACCATAAGAATAAACACCTCACACATATCTTGAGAAAACAAGATCCAGGTACCCAAAAAACCAAACAAAAATATAATATTTCAGAGACAATCAAGAACAAGAATAGACCTCCCACAGTTTGTCCCTGAGACACAAGTCAAAAAAGAATAGTATTGAGAGGAATCAAGAAAACAACCAGGAAATCAAGAACAATCGAATCTTAATCCCACAATGAGGGAAAGAAACCTGTGTTTCTGCCATAATAATCCCTGAGGAACTACTCAAAAATACCTAAAGCAGGGCAATGTACAGTATTTGAGAGAGATCAGGAACAAGATATTACACATGAGCCTGTTTACAATGCATTTCACCCCCAGGAGCTGAATATTGCACCTCAGTTGACTATTACATAGTCCCTCATACTGTCACCTAGCTTATCACTGCAGTGATGTGTTGTACAGTCTGATGGCTGTGGGGAGGAACGACCTACGGTAACGCTCCTTCTTACACTGGGGATGTAACAGTACTTAAAGTATTAAAGGAATTAACGGGAACAGCTGAAAGAAGAAGTAGGCTATTCAGCGCAGAAAAATGTTATACTAATTACGTTAACGGCCTGTCACTCATGCACTGATGTTAAAAGTAGGATTTGACTGTAGTTGGTTGAGGTGGAGCTCTGCTGAACTATTTTGTATCTATGTGCAACTACAGATTATTTTCATTAGGGATCAACCTGCTGGATATTTTCCCCATTAATCGACTGGTTTGTAAAAGTTCTGACAGTAGTGAGACCTGCCGTCACAATGCTCTAAACGATGACCATAATAGTTGTTAGTTTATTATAGGTGCCTGAGAGTGCAGCCACACCTGTCTGTACCTTCACTCACACACATTTATGGGAGCCAGAAAAGTTTGTGTTTCTGGGGTCAGGGGGGATCAGTGTGAGTCCTTTTGTAAGTCAGAGATCAGCAAACAAATAGACAATGTGGAAAATTATTTTGATAGCGCATTTTATAACCGGGATTAAAGTTCTAAACATGACACACACCTGTACGGGGAGACGGTGTTCCGGAAGGTTTTCGTTCTTTAGCTTTCCAGAGTAATCCTGCACCGCTGATTTAAATTTCATATGTGGTGGATAGAGTTTGGTGATTTCAGCCTCCTCATCTCTGCCTTTTGGTAGCTGCATGTGGTGCCCTTTGCGCAGTCCGACAGGCATTGTGGAAGAAAGGTGCACAGGCATTGCACTTTTTATTGAATATTGGGAATAAGCAAATGTGCATAGTATGATAACCATTAATTTTCATACCATGGTATGCTGTGAAACCAGTAAACCACTGCAACCCTTCATCCATATGTAATGTGGTGGTCCCACATATGGGTGTTGTGTACATGTGAGCTTGCCTCATGCAGATGAAGACAGGGAGAGGTGGTGAGCATGGAAAGCTGCAGCAGCATCACACTTTACCCTAAAAAAAACTGAATCCCTGCTACTTTGCCCCCTCCCTCCCTCCCTTTCTGCCACTCATCTTCAAGAGAGAGGCAAGACGAAGGAAACTGGGACAGCATCTGTGCCTCTGCATTGCTTATTAGATGATGAAAAAAGAAGCGCATGATAATTTAAATGAGTTTTCTGTCACTGTGTGTTAAAATTTTGACACAAAATCTCACAGGTTTATATGTATTTATTTTTGTTGACATCCTGGCATGTGACTGGTCTCAGCTGGCTGCACAGCAACCAGTTATGTAACATCCTAAGCGTCATCTCCCAGAAAAAGGAGACTTATGGAGATGTTTTTGAGCGGCTTCCCTCGAATCTTTCATAGCTGGGACAGCAGGCAACTTGGCAGAAATGAACACTAACTTCTGGATGGCAGAGGAAGAGCAGCTGTGACTGGACTTGTTTATGTTTTGTAAAGACTGTCCTTTCAGTCAGACTTTCTGGTTGTGCATATGGTCTTCGTCTCATGCTTTAACACATTGCCTGCGCTCTGTAGCATTCAAATGTGTGCATGCAGACACACTAACATGGATGAGCACACCAGCCAGCTGAAGCTGCATGGGGCGGCATCCTTCTGGCTGAGTGCTGCTGTCTCAAGCTGACAGCTGGCAAATGGTTTGACTTTTGCCAGTGATAACCCTGGACACGAGCCAGACTGCCTCTCTTAATGTGCTCCCATCCTCTTTGGTTTCCTCTCTTCCTCACCTCTGTGTCATCCCTCTCTCCTGTAACTTTTCCCTCTGACTCAGGTCCTTGTCGCTCTCTCTGTCTCTCTTGTCCTGCTCCGTCCTGGCGTCTTCCTCTTCCACACAGTGGGGTGAGCTTGTTTCCCTCTGGGTTTTAAGTAGCCTCTCTCAGCGTGACTGGATAGCCAAGGGATGGGAACACTGTGGGTTGTGTTAATGGGGGCTCAGGGTGCACTCCACAGCAACCGTCTGTTGCCATTCATAGACACACTTGTTACTCCTACTTACACATACACAGACACAACATACGCACATGTCAACATGCAACCACCCCCTTGGGGAGCTGTGTGAAAAGCATTTTAATATTCAAGAGTTTATCGTTGGACGTTTAACCAGCTTTACATTCATTGTGCTTTCACATCGAAGCTGTTTTGGTGTGTTCATCTGGTTAGTTTGGTTCATTGAGGTTAATGTGAATGTTGTCCTCCCAGCTGTGGAATGGACTAATGCTGCATTCACACAATGTCACCACAATAAGAACAGGGAAAACAGCCCTTATTTTGGGTTTTACATTTGGGAGGCATTTAGGAACACTACTTCCTTCAGTGCTTATTAGGGGTGTGATGAGATCTCGCATTTTTACAGTTTTTTTCTGGTGTACATTTCTGAAAAGATTACTTATATTTTTAAAACAATAAGCAGTTCTTGAAACAGTTTATACAAACAGCACCACACAATGGATTAGCTGCAAAAGCATGTCACTTGCTCAGAATCCTCAGTCTATATCTCAAAAGTGAATACTTAGGTC